TTGAATATATGCAATTGTTCACGCAACTCCTCCACCGCATCCTGAAGCCTTGAGTGGGAGATTCTGAGATATTCCAACCCGGCTGTCGTTTCTGTGCCGACGGCTACTGGTGCGTCCATTTTACCACTCTCCAAACGTCTCACAACGTTCCAAAGCGACTTCAACTCGTCGCGGACACTCCCAAAATTATCTCGCAAGTCTTCGCCGTTGGCCTTCCACATCTCAAACTGCCTCCCGCCGTACATTCCCTGATATGTTGTTGCTAGGTGTGTCATCATTGGATCAGCAAGTTTCGTGCTGTAGCGCTTGGAATCATCCACGAGCGGCACCTGCTGCCTCAGTTCGTCTTCCACATCGCCAAATGCACGATTTCGTCGCCGTTCGGCTTCTTCCAGCCGGCTCAACCGTTCCTGAATATCCTCCACCGCATCTCGCATTCGCGCCTGCGAATCTTCAAGAAATCCGAGGGCTGAGTTAGTCTTCTCGTCTAAGTCTCTTGGCAAAGCGTAGCTGCCACTCTGCAGCTGCTGAATCATTTTCCAGGCCGACTCCTCCACATCCTGCGTATTTCTGAGATACACCTGCAACTCCTCGATCTCCTTGTGGAGGCGGCCAATCTTGTTCTGACGGCCCTCATTCCAAGCAGCACTTGTCGCCGTACGACCTAGTCTGTTCTCCTGCGGGCTCAATCGTCCTTCTCCGGGCTCAACTCTGGTCAGATCCGACCCATTTTGGCTTTTGAAACCCCAATACGCTATCGCTTCATTTCCCTGGCCGTCCTGGCTCCATGTCCGGACCTTCGCGAGACGCTGCGGAAGCTGGCCGCCACCTTCCTCCCAGTTGAACCCAATGTCGGTTTCCGTGCCTGACTGTTGCTCCCGCGGGAGGCTCGTTTGACTGTCGTGTCCATTGACAATAGATGGTCTCGTTCTTGTTGGCACATGGATGGTGCGTCCTGTTCTTTCCTGATCGCGAGCCCCAAATCCTGGCCGACGATTCTGTTTCTCAGAATGCTGCTCGAGCTTTATAGCTTCACTTCTTCGGTCGCCGAATGTGCCCGGATTGGCAACAACTGGGTCTCGCGGTCGCGCTCGGTACACCGGTGGCTTCTCCGTTGTGTCCTTGACCTCAACATTCGCCGTTGGCAACACTGGGCCCGCTCCTTGAGCATCGCGAAACTTGGAACTCGCTCGCCTTTGTCCGTGGTTTGTCGGTACCGCCGGTGCGTACTTGCGATTTTCTCCCAGCTGTGGTTTGAGTGCTGGCCGACTGCTGCTTGCATCTCCTGCGCCGACTTCAACATCCAGGTGGAACCGCCCACGATCTTCGTTCATTCGCTCCGGATCATCAAACTCCGGTAGGGAGATCTCTTCGTTGATGTTGGCAGTATCCTGTAAGTCGACAGTTCCCATCGCTGCTAATCGCTCGGCAACCTGAATCACTTCTTCCAGTGAATGTGGGTCTTCTCGACGCCTGTCTGGTGCTGTGACACGAAGACCGAGTTCTTCTTGGACCAATCGACCAACTCGTAGGTCTATTAATCCCTGACGGACTTGGTTTGCGGATGCTGCAGCCAGCGTACACAGGTACTGTCGACATGCTTCGCGATTCGTCAAAACTGACGGCGCTGTTTGTAGTTTCTTCACTAAAACGTGGAACTGCCGTCCGAAGCGGCGTAGCCGCCCTTCCTCTTTGAGCAACACTCCCGCATATTCCACACATAACTCGGTCAAATCCTCAAGTTTTCCATTTTGCCTCCGTGCTACTTCGGGATAGAGTTCTCGAACCTCCTTTTCGAATGCGTTGTACGAGTAGACCGGTGCGTATGTCTTCAGTTCGCGCCAAAATTCGCGCTTCCTGGTGGGCAGATAGCTAGTCATCAAGACCTTCCGCTCTTGTTGTCCGGCAAGGCTGCCGAGTTCGAAAATCGTTGCCACGTTTTCGAGGAAGTCGGCAAGATCGTCAGTCGAATCCGATCCGAATGTTGGCCGGTGAGCCTCCCAGGGTCTCGGAATGTGGAACAGAGGGGCAGGCTTGGGAGCCGGGGCTGCGGCACCATGCCCTGCATGGCCTGGTTGCTGTCTTGGGCGGGGTATTTGGGAGTGGCCTGACATAAATACAGAGATAGAATTGTCCTGCAACCCATTGGAAAATAATAATTTATCAGAAGCAAGAAGTTCGGAATATTTTTCTGATATTTTAACATATTTTTCTGAGTGTTTTTCTGATTTTTGTGGTTTTTCTAATTTTTGTGGATATTTTTGTGAATATTTTAAGAGAAATTCAGAGAGGGCAGAAACTGAGTGGGAAGGGTGACTGCCAGAGTCTTGAGGTTGAAAAGAGTTGGAGGGGGTGTTTGGGAGAGATTTCAACTTGGGATCATCATGATTGTTCTTGTGGATGAGCCCCTCGCGGTGGGCTCCATATGAAACGCATGAAATGCGAGCAATGGTGAATGCAGAAACAACTCCACAAACAACCAAAACACCCAAATCAAGGTCTGTGTGTTCAGGGCTCCATGGAAAGTATATCCATGCTGCAACCCATAAGAGCAAGATGATGATGAACAAGTTGAGGAGGTGAAGGTGATGTGAGTGTGATGGTATCACTGATGACAGTGATGATGTTGATGATGGGAAGTGTGCTGCTGGTGTTGATGGTGTGCAAGGTGGTGTTGGTGGTGGTCTTGTTGATGATGATGATGATGTTGAGTTGGGTGGAGAGGAAGGAGGTGTTGATGTAGGATAGGACAGATATGACATACAGAGCATGCCTCTTGTAGCCAAACATCCCCACAACAACAACCCACTCCAAAATGATCCCAACCCAAAACCAACACCAAAACCCAAAATGGTAGTGGTCACAGTCACAGTCACATCTGGTATGTCGTTGCTGAAAATAGATACATTACCTGGTCCCTTTGTTGTCTTCATCATTGAGGGAAGAACAACTAGCATCAAGAGCATCAGTTGCCACACCATAAATGGCATAAACAACTCCAATATGGGTCGCTCCATCCAAAGAGGGCGACGTTCCATAAAGGGAAGCGCATCTGAGCATAGTTTCCCCATCTTCATGTCTTCACATCAAGCTAGCACTCCAATGTCCTGTAAAACAAATCAATACTCGTTCAACAATCAGAGGTTCGTCGTCGTCGTAGGTGTTCTTGAGGGTAGCAAGTTCAACTTTCCACTATGGGGAGCAATAGAACTGCTATGGGGGGCACGTTGTATTCTGGGGCCTATGCTACAATACAGCGCGAATATATACCTAGGGCCGTCACAGCCTTACATAATCCCTGGCCGCGGCTGCCGGTCACATGTCTTGCTCTGAGACAGTTTCAGACGCTTGTTTCGTCTCATCCCGCTTCAATCTACCCCCTTAATGCATACTGAGACGTCTCAGTCTCTCGCGTTTTGCTTCAGCAAGCGTTTTGAGCTCATACACGTCCCATGTCGTGTTTCGGGGCCTCCGGCCGGCCACGGCCCGGTCCGAACTGTTCCAGAGTGATTTTGGGGGTCAAAAGCACCCGCAAGTGGCGCTTCCAGCTCTTTTCCCCCCACCTACGCGTCCCGCGCTCGACACGAAGATTATGAGCGCGCGGTAAGTCTTCCAATCTATGGGCTTGTTTGCACTCATCTCAGCAGTTCTGTTCATTCCATCATCTACTGCGCGACTACACCCTGCACGGAAACTGAATATAAGGTGGAATGGAACCGCCTCAAAGTCGATGAACCACATCGGGTCAAGGTACGTAGCCCTGGTGGGTTGGACAATATTTGCTCATAAACTCGGGGCTAGATCTACGATGCATATTTGAAAGAGCTGGTTTGTTTTCTCCGTTGTGCACCATCTTGAGACTGAATCTGTTGCAGAAAACCATGAAGCCGAAGCCCGTTGTCCTTCCTGCAGCTACTGTGATCAGTCAGCGTATTATCGAGATGGAGCAGATTGCAGAGAAGACTGTGTAGCGGTTCAGAAAGGATTTCAAAAGCAGGGAATTTGTATTTTACATTCATTTTAGTCGCAGTTTCATCGAATTTTCATCTCGTTCAATCGCAATCCATGCCTGTCAACTTGCAGAAACCATCTCGTACCATCTCGCCAAGTATCACCCAGCCATGACATGTATGCGCAAATTGCGAGGGTGAAACGAGATGGATTGAGTCTATCTACAAAATATCACAAATCATAGCACTACATAACGGTGTTTTGGGCAAAAGCGTAAATATGCGTAATCTATTGGGTGACTCTCTTGACAGCTCATTTCTTCCCGTTTAATCTCACCACACCTCACCGACTTTTCACTGGGCTTGAACTCCCTATGTCACTTCAAACTAGCACTCTATTTTGGCGCGTTTGCTCTCACGGCGCACTGAACGTCTGTGGAATCTACGCGCGAATATGCAAAGCCGCTACGCATGGAGTCAGGTGTGTCTCTACACTGTCCGTTGATCACTATGGTTCTGACTTCTCTGGAACGTTTCGTTCGCCAGTAATTTGTACTTGGATTTCGAAGGCAAGGCGACAACTGATTGTTTGGAGAAACAGGGGATCTACGCAACTGTTCGATAGACTCATTAGAGCGATCACCAGTTACCGACCTCCTCAACGTTGAACGGGACATCCTTCCAGCCTCCGGAGCGTCACCTTGGTTTCTGACAAACCCTCCGTTCAGTGAGTTTACTTGTTAAATTTTGGAGCTAGTATGTACCTCATAGTCTTTGCCCAAACAGTTGCCACATTGTCTGGCGGCCCGCGGGATGGCGCCATTGCTGAATCGCGACTCGTCGCATGCTGACGGTGTATTCGAAAGCTTACTTGAACTGCCGCCGGTAAAGTCGAACCAAATATCTCAGTGTAAATATGGCTTTATTGTGAATCAACATTCACTACCGCGTCATCGGTCAGAGCAAGACCCGCATAAGCCACGACATCACTCGTTGCCTGATGGTGACCGCGTGACTTCCCGGCTTGCTCTTGACGACCACCATCGAAAAATGCACGACGCTTTCGAACAACGCCATCTCAATCGCTTGCCCGCCCGATTCCGAGTTTGTGTCCAATATGTATGAATCAGCTTTGACTGATGATGCCACCCAGAGTATTGCCCGCTTGCTTGCCACGTCATCTGAACCACACGACTTTGCCCAATTCGAGGCACTGATTCATGCCGACCCACGATCTCATATCTTGCTTCTGCCGCTGTACTGGATATTTCTTGATCCGGCTCGTATTCCTCCCCCAACTGCGCTGGAGAGTCCATCTCCATTAGAAGGTTTCGCTTTGCACGCGGCTTTCCTTGCCCTCTCTGGCTCTGCCAAGGCTATGGAAGTGCAACGACGGTTAGACCACGCGCAGTGGTTCCATGGCGATCAGGTCCAATTGCCATATCGAGAGTTATGGCCACGTCTTTGGCGCTGGGCTTGCTTCGTTCAGCAGAATTGGGCTCTCATCCCTGCCTCATATTGCCATAAGCACAGCTGCAACGAGTCGTCCATCATTGCCTCACTATTGCGCTTTACCGTCACTGCATTCAACATCCATTCCCCAAACGATGCCAATTTTGCCATTCGAGAACCTGGTTTCCTACGTGTAGTCTTCCGCCACTGGAGCCTGCGACTGGCACAGTCAAGCGACCGCATCCCAGAAGACCTTGACCTCTCATGCGCCTTTCTCAATCTTCCGCGTGGCTCCCTAGATGAAATCATTTCAGGTGTGGGAGGGAGTCTGAATGATGTTGCGCGACTCTTTGCATCCCATATTCGCATATATGCCAAGGAGCTTGAACGCCGACCACTCAGGGCAAGATGGAGCCCCGCTGATCGCGTCTTCACTCAGATCAGGGGCACGATCGGCTCTATCAACAACCTTGTGCCAGGACATGCTCCTGAGTCTGCAACACGTGCACAGCCAGGTCCATTTATCGAAATTTTCTTGTCATATTTGAACCCCCGGACCCTTGTACGCATGGCACATCGCCTCGTGGCGTACGACACCTCTCGCTACACTTCTGGCGAGATCTATGGCTGGGGCACGGTGATGCGCGATGCTATCTTCATTCTCGGACTGCTTCTTATCCGCAGCCGTCGCTCGGTTCGCATTGCGCTGCGCCACGAGCTCATCTCTGTCTTGGTGCGCGCTAGCAGTCGAGATGACGGACGAAAGCCTGAGAGCGTTGCCGATGCAGTGAACGATATAATCAAAGAGGTTCTCTGCCCGGCAACACTTTTTTCATCCATCAACCAGTTGCTTCAAACTTCATTTGCCGATATCCACCAGCTTTTATCGTCGACTCAGTTCCTTAACTCTCCCTCGCAGAAGTATTCTTCCCAGCTGCTTGATATGGTACAGGTGAATTCGCTTCCGCAAGTGGCCGCTCGTGCGTTGAACCAGGCAAATTATGGTATCTGTAATTCGAGCAAGGTTTGTTTGGCCTTTTTGCAGCGAAAATATGGCTGATTTAATCATACCTAGTGCTTGAAGATTGCGAATAAAGCCCAGCTGAGACGCTGCGCAAACTGCAGAGTGTCGTTATATTGCTCGTCGGACTGCCAGCGCTTCGATTGGAGGCAGGGAATGCACCGTGCAACATGTTTGACGTTCCTGGTGACCGCCCAAGGTTTGTGTCGAACCCTACCGGCGATTTAAGTCCACTTATAACCCTTGCAGCAACCGCACTGAGATTCTCGCTCCCCGAACTGGCTGATATGCATGCAGCCATGACCTATCATCACCAAAACCACACCGCAGGGTACTACTTTGCGATCGCCATGCACACCATTGGCCGCACAACCCCCACTCCCTACTTTGTTGTGGTCGACTTCGCGAACCATAACTGGCAGAGGGGCATAGGCCCTCTTGTTTTTGCGCTCAGCGCCGTCACGGTGGACTCTGACTCGCCGTTGACGGAGATTCGTGAGTACTTCCCGGCGGGAGCGATGGACGCCTGGCTCGCCCGCGCGGAGGAGTGCAGTGATCGGATGGAGCTGCACGTGCTGCGGTTCGCGATAGGCAACGCAGCACAGTTCGTGGTGATGCCGTTTTGTTTCAGCGGAGACCGCCAATTCCTGATCGACACTGGAAGGGATTTCCTGCGTCAGGAAGAACAGAAGAGTGGGGGTGTCACGCTTGAGGGATTTCGCAGGCGCTGGGAAAGCGTGAAGGTACCAGAAGACTTTCAGTGGTTCTATCAAAAGGCATTTTAGGGCTATGAGCTGCGTGAAGTTGAATCTTGTTTTCACTAATTTATCAATTACAAAATGTAATTATTTATGCATATCATCTTGTACCGGACTGTGAAGCTACGACTCTATGTTGCAGTATGTCATGCGTCGCCTGAGCTGGTCGTTAGATTCTGACAATCATTGTCTTGAGCGTGCGGCTGGCGCGTCCAATGGCAGACTCGGAGGAAACCGGATGGAACAGAAGAGGGTCGGAGGTAGCCGATGACGTGATGGCCACGTCAGTGCCAAGCCGAACACCCTTCTCCTCTGACGACGAGCAGGCATATAGGCAAAGATGGTTTTCGGTGCACCCCGCTCGCTCATCTACTGGGTCAAATGGTTGTCCGGGCAGTACTACATGGAGGCGGGCTCCCAAGTGGCCAACAAGCGCCGTCGCCGCCCACAACTCTCTTCTTCCTCGCCATCGCGAGGCTCACTGCAAGCGCTCGAGCGGCCGCCAACCTGCTTATGGGAGGTGAGAGTTGGGTGAGAGATCCTTTCAGCTCTCACCCGCCACCGAAAAACCCTTTGGAAAAACCCACACTTACGGTACTTACTTCAATTGCAGGGCCGCGCCGGCGCGTCAAAGCTTGTTTTCGGCAGATGCCGCGGGAAGAACCCAGGAAGAATGCCGTTGATTCACGACCCTGAAGCTTCTTCGCCCTCTTCCACTCACCATCACGAGTCCCCTCCCCGCCCCTCATGGAAGACGACCAGGCGGCCTTTTTCCAGCGCTCGCAAGCGCTCATCGACAGTGTGGACGGCAGGCTGGCCGCCGCCTTGGTGCGCTGACAGCCGCAGTAACGGGAGGCAGGGCTGACGAGCTGCAGACGAAAGGCGATGCGCCGCCCATCGCTGTGCTGGAGGTTTCTGACGACTCTGACGTGGAGATGGCATGTTTTGCGATTCACTTTTACAATTGCACTGAGTATTTTCCCCTCCAGAAGGCAGAGTCGGACGAAGAGGGAGCATCAGCGACCCTGCTCCACCCTCACCCGATGCGCCCGCGTCGCAGCCGGGACGACGAGAGGAAGAGTAAAGAAGCGTGGTACAAGGCAAGTTGTTGGCATCCGTAGACGGTAGCTCTGGCTAAATGTCTATTTTGCGAAGGTGGCACGTCATCTGGACGCAGCGCTCCGCAAGTCGCTGGATGCTATCGCTACCGCAGCTGCAGAGGTACGGGTTGTTTATGTTCAATACCGCACCATGCTCAACGCTACCTTCCCAGAAGCAGGAAGCACAGAAGGTACAGTCTATACCGGAGACTTTCAGCGCATCCATTTATGCTTGTAGGAACTGACGATCGCGAAGAAGGAGAGCAAAGCATTAGGGTGCAAGAACTCCGAGTTGCAAGACCAGTTGGACCAGGTGTGTTTCGTTGCACGCGCTTGCCCTGAATGCAGACTGAGCGCTACGGCAGAAACACGAACGTGAAGCCTCAAGTCTGGTGGCCGTTGATGTGCTGAAGGCCAAAAGCACCAAACGGAAGGCGCAGATAAAGGAGTTGAATAAAGTGCGTAATGGCGTCGTCCTCTGGCCAGACTCTAGCGCTTACTCTAGTCAGACCGTGGTTCAGCAACAAGCCGAGATTGCTGAGCTCATGCAGGAGATTCGCAAGTTCCGCGACGAGAAGGCTGTTCTATCGGGTGTAGAAACCACTGTGCGTTTTGTCCTCTTTGCCTCCGCCGAGTCAGCTCCCAGTTATTCACCCTCGCTTCTACCTAGGCTGTCACAGTGGAGGCTGCGAACTTGAAGCGGCAGATCGCCACCCTCAGACAGGATAAGGAGCGCCTGGTCAAAGTGAATGAGGGTCTGATCGGCGAGCGCAACGTGAGGAGCGCCTTGATATCTGCCTACTGCGTTGATTCAGCCATAGATCACGCGTGCGATTAATCAGTGCAAGAACCGTCTCAACCAGAAGCTCGTGCCACAGGCTAACAAGGTTATTGTGGCACGGTCAGAGGATATCCACTGCGCAACAGACAATCTCTTTGCATTTTTGGCTCAGGTGAGTTGTAACATACTTGTCGTCTCGATGGCTCAAGTATTGACTTCTGCCAGGACCCGTCGACGCAAAGGTATGCTTATAGTGCTTCCTTATCATAGTTAACCATTTTACTTAGCTTCATGAACAACGTCCTATATTTACCGCACCGCCTGCTGTCCTGTGCGCCGCGCAACTACATTGCGTTTGCCCCGAGCGCACGGTACAATGACACCCGATGCAAATGGGAGGACGGCTCTGACCTCGCGGTCCTTGCAGGCAGCACGCGCGAGCTTTTCGTCGTCGTTACCCGCCAGAATGAGCGCACATACGAAGACGTGATAGCCTACGCCGGCACTTACCTCTGCCACGACCTGGGCCGGGCCGCCTACCCGCCCGGGACCAAGCCTCCCCGCTCCGTCGTGCGTGTGTGTTGCCTCGCTGTTTGACCTGTAGCTGAAGCTCCGCCAGCCCGACGCGGCCATCCTCGAGGTGGCCTTTGGTATGAAGACGACCCAGGACGACATCGACATCACGCCGCTGATCAAGCAGCGGTTCCCGAGTGGGACTATCGACATTGAGGTGATGGGGCTGCAGCTCGTGGGGTATAACATGAAGCTGTGTGATGCACTGAAAGGCCGCCTGTCTCGGAGCGGCCAACAGCCACCTCCGGTCGTGCCGGCAAAGCGCGCCGCAGAAATGGGGATCGGTGAGGGCTCGAAGAAACCTAGAACTTGAGTTGCAGTAGAGCAGTGTTACGCTTGTATAGTCGTAATAGATTAGAAAATCGTAAGTGGCAAGCGAGCTAGGATGAGCGGTGAAATTAGTAGGAGGCAAGGAGCGAGAAAGCTAACTTGGCTGACTCGGACGACGCACGCGCTTGGACGGCGACCTGACCGCCCGCTCAGGCCGCGCTGCAAAACTTGAGCCGCTGACCGTGCAGGGCCTATCCTCTCACTTTTCTCACTCCAATGGAAACAAAGAATTGGCGCTGTCGACATGAAGGGAAAGGATAAGTGGATGACGTGTCACCGGATCAGACCGAGTGACATCAATCTTTACGTCAAAACTTTTCTTCCCTCTTCCACCACTCGCTCCGCCGCCTGCAGCGCTGAGATAGTCAGTGTCCTTTGAGCGCCTAGATCTACGCTTATCCTCCATAGACACTGAAGTGCCACCCTTTTGGCGGTACTACGACCATGGTCCACTCACCGCCATCGCTGTTTGCCACCCTCCCGCTTGAGCTCATTACGGAGATCTTGAGCTATTGCTCGAACCAGTGCATTGAAATTCACTCCGACACCTCGAGAACCGCATTGCAATCCTGTCAAGTTCTTGCTGGGGGAGAGCTCGTTCTATTGGCGCAGACTTGCCACTGGGTCCGGCGTGTCGTCCGGAGCACGCCGACCCTCTGGAACACTATCATTGTCGATCTCCGCTGCTTCCGCGACCTTCCGGAGGAAGATTTGATCTCAGACCCGCGCAGTGAGTACAACTGGATGCTTAGTCTGCTCAACCAAGTCCTTGGTCGGGGGCGGAACAGCCCTCGTCGCATCGAATTGTACTCCCCGTACGGCCTCCATCCCCGCCATTTCATCCAGATCTTGACGCTTTGGGCCGCTCATTGGCACAACATCAGATTTTCAATGAATAACGACATGCTTGACCTCCTCCAAGGTGTGAGCTTCCCATCACTGAAATCCCTTTCGCTGCAGCTTCCGTATAAGCGGCGCGCGGCGCGCGCCCACTCAGCAATTCGACAACCAGGCTACAGCCTCGACTTCCTCTCCACTCAATACGCGCCTCGGCTCTCATTTCTGTCCATATTTGGTGCTTTGCCTAGCATTGATGATCTTGCTCCGCTTTTATCGACATTTGTCTGCTCTCTACGTTACGCTGATATGCCCTTCATCCTCAAGATTGTACCTCACCTAACTTCTGCCGCGGGACTGGATCTTGCAGTCTTGTCATCATTTAATCATGACGTCCGCAAGGTGCTCCACAGCGATGGGGCACTGTTTCATCGGCGCGTGACGAGCACTCTTGGGAAACTCTCCATCACGCAAATTTCGCACCACTCAACATGGGATTCCGATGGAAATGCTGTTGGTGTCATCCTTGACTCGCTCGCCCTGCCCGAGCTGTCTTCGTTCCGCATTTCGGCCAGCCGTACACCGGTTGTCTGGCCACACGTCTCGGGGCTCGCGTTTCTGCAACGATCTGGCCAATCACTTACCAGCCTGGACCTTGTGACCGTTTGTCTGTCCACCGCTCAGCTCCTTGCCGTCCTTGGCGCTGTCCCGCTCCTCACGTCGCTTTACATCCGCGACAATGCGGACAGCGATGTTCCCGCCCTGGTCACGGATGACCTGTTCGTTGCCGTCAAACTGCACCAGCCGGCGTTGGTCCCTGCACTGTCTGGCCTGAGCATTGGCTCGCGGGCGGCTTTCACCACATCCGCGCTCATGCAACTGCTTCAACACCGACAGGAGGCGCAATTGGTGGTGGTTCTGTATTGGCTCGCTGGGTACGGCACCGCGTCTTTCCAAGAGGATGTGGAGAAGAGTCTCGATGAGTGGGATGATCAAATGCAAAAACGGGAGGCCCAGGGACCGGATCCCGGTGGGCATATATAGATTCTGTGCAAGACGGAGAGGCTCGCGCAATGCGCTGCTTTTCGTGAACAAAACGTATTGGCGAGGGCGAGATCGTTAATTAAGCTCCCAACATTTTCATTCAGTCTAATTTGCATAATGGTGTACTGCTTCAATGAAATCCGACATCTACGTCCTCATCATTCAAAAAATGCAAGCTTGGCCTGATCTCCTCTCCCTTCGACGAGCGCGCCTTTATCTTTGTGAATACCACTTCTAGACGTGCACACAAATCACCGTCTGAGCAGCGCAGTGGGATGACCAAGTATTGTGACGCCCCGTATTCCAGAATTTCGACAACGTGCAGGTGCAGTCGTCCACGTGAGGCTTTTGCTCTCTCAACGAGCAGCCGCCAGGCGGCTTGTTGTCGCTGCCGGGTAGGCGCGTCGTCCTGGAGTCCTTGTGCATCATGATCACCGAGCATCCTCTCGAAGTCAGCTGTTGTGAGAACAGAAACCGTCGTCGGCACCACACCATAGTTGAACAGTGTCACTAGAGGCTCCGCATCCGACCAGCCGTGTGCAGGGCTGGCCAGGAGAACGGTCAACTGCTGGGTATAGATGTCGATGATGTTGTTCGTGTATTGCTCTTGGACGACTGCGCGGAAGAAGCGGCGGGCGGTAAAGTCGAACCGCGGCGCAGCGAATTCGGCTGAGATGGTGAGCAACAAAAATAGTATGCGAGTGATAGCGACGCACTCAGAAAAAGCTCCCCATATGCTTTGCAGCCTGAACGATGCCCGCCGGTCTTCCAGTCCGCCTTCTGGCACGCTTTTGAGCAGTAATACATTGCCTTGCAAGCTGAACACTTCCCACCTGTACACGGGGTTTTTTTTAAAAAGGTCTTCTTATTACCAGTGTTAATGTTTTTAAAAAATGCCTCTAATTTATGCCCCTGCCAAAAGGCGGGTTTTATATAGGAAAATAAGAGATCAAAAAAAGGTTTAAAAAGTGGAAAAGCCATGTCAGGGTGGGCAGTGTGGTAGCTATAAGGCCCAGGACCTGATGTGTGGAAAATTCCTTAAGTATGGGGAAAATACTGTGTAGGGGAAAGGCCAAAAAAGACGAAAAAAAATGTTGATGCCAAGGTGCCAAGAAAGATACGGAGTTTGACAGCGTGGATTCTATTAAAATGAGGGTGAAACTTGTAAATCACTGATGTTTTTTAAAAATGTTAATACTCTAATTACAAGGGATCTTTTTAAAAAAAACCCCGTATACGCCTGCACTTCCTGGTTTCTTCGCGGAAGAGAACTTGGCAACACTGTGCACATGGCCGTCAAATAATCAAGCTAGAAGAAGAAAAGTGTGGAGACAGACCTCAATATTGTCGCATGCCTTGAGCTCCAACAATTTGTCCTCCTTGCAGGTCTTAAGCAACTCAATCCTTTGTTCAGCTTGTCGCTTGAAAGCGAGCCAAGAATCATATACAATGGATGTCTTGAATGAGTGCTGGTCTTCGAGATCTTTGACCTCCTCCAGATGCTTGACCAGCTCAGAAACAAAGAGATGGTCGATAAAGTTGAGCGGCATCCACTGGGTGAAATAGCGCTTGACGCTCGCCTTCAGCCGCCCGTCGGTCAAATACGGGCCTGAGGCCACGCGGACAAGGACCCGGAGCAGCCCCGCGTCAAGGGCATCAAAGTAGTACAACGCGCCTTGTGTGGGGAGCAAGAGCCGCTCCAGCAACATGAGGCCCTGCCAGAGGACCTCCCCAAGATCAGGCTCCGCTGGCCCGGATTCATCCACAAGATTTGACATCAATGAGACAAGCGGCCGGATCACATTCGCACGCCGCAGCTCCGCGCCAAAGTGTGTGACAGGCGTCTGCAACAGACGGTGGTGTTGCAATTCAGCTGGAAGGAGCGCCAGATCGAGCTGCGTCATGAATACGATGGCATATTGGATGGCCCAGACGGTCGAAGAGTCGATCAGTGTTTTTCGCCAAGTCAGTGTGCGGAGGGCAGATAGAATTCGCCGCCTCGCGCCGCCCACCTGCCGCGAACCGCCGCTACCTTTACCCCCATCGCCGCTTTCCCATGTCACGCTTCCGCCACCGTCACAAGGTGGGGAAGCGGCTGGGTAGCGGCGAAGTACATGTTTTGACACACATATGCACTTCGCCGCTCACCCCTGGTGTGCGATCAAGCCGGACATGACAACAAGCGACCTTCGAGAGCCGCAACTTGGGCCGCCGGGCTCCAACCATGGGTCCGGCTCTAGCGATTCTCATGGCGACGTCGTTGCTCGTCACATCGAGCTCATCGCCGTCACACAGTGGAAGGCGGCGAAGTTACTGATTTTTGGCCTTTCACTTTTTTGTGTAGAACGATGTATTCCATGCTGTTTTACACTATAGTGAAGTGCCCACAACCAAATTTCCATTTCTTCCGCTGCTATGTCCATTTTAAGTCATGAATTGAGCCAGGCTGCTAACATATACCTAGTGCGTCAGCAGATGGTCAATCTAAGGGTACAACGGGACCTAGCCGTCTTCTTCAGATCATAGAGCAGCCGGACTCTGATTAGTTATACTTGTCTTCTGAGTCTATTATATAAAAAATGTGAACTGGGAAAAAGAAATTTAGAAAACAATATGAAAGTACTAGGAAATGGTGCAAAAGTTGAGTAAAACTTTCTGGAAATTACTGGAAATTTCACGAAATTTCAAAATATTTTTGGGGGACTAAAGGAATCTCAGAAATCATAGAAATCGGAAAAATCAAGCAAAATCTGATATGATTTCACAAAATTTTGCAAAATTGTCTGAGATTTTAGAGGGAGGAATTTCCTGATGTACAATATGGGAAACCTTCTCACAATTTTTAATCGGACATTCAATCAATGATCATAATAATATATAGTAAGCATGCTCTGAGTCAGCAAGTGTGACGTCAGCTACTCAATGGAGCCGGCTTTTCTTTCGACCATGACCCCGACCTCCCTGCTGGACCTGTGTCCGCTTCCCCCCTCTCCTTGGAATGTATTCCTCATCTTGTCCGTCATCCACCTCGCTTTCCCCTGAGCTACTCGACGACTCCTCTTCCGAAACATTCTGCAAATTTTCATCATCACTCTCTTCGACATTCTTCTCTGCTCTTTGAGCCTCTGCCAAAGCCTCGACAGCCTTCTGGCGCTTGGCAGCAGCAGTCTCTCGGCGTTTTCTCGCAGTCTGCTCCCGGCCAACGGTTCTTTTTTCTCGCGCTGCCTGAGCCGCCTCTCGGTGGAATAAGAGCCGATTGGACTGGAGTGGTTTCAGCGTATAAGCCTCGGAGGGCAGGACACGCATGAGCTCGGCAAAATTATGCGTGGAGCCCAGGTGGAGAATGTATTGGTCGTCTTCAAAATGCTTGACGAGGCTGAGATCGTGAGTCGTGTCTTCGCGTTCCTGCTTCTGTTTCCCTATCACCGCAGGCTTGCAGTTCCCTCTCGTGCAATCATGTTGAACAGAGCACAAGAACTCAACATCTTCACCCTTAACAACAACCATTGAGGTAACATCAGCCTTGATTTCCTCTCCGCTCGGTCGGCGAACAACGGGCCAGTCAAATGTGGGATGGCGCTCTGATGAACATATGAAACGTTCAATGGTAACAAAGGTGAGCGCCTTCAGCGAAACGATTTCATTCACGCGTCCCAAGAACAGCTTCCCATTCCCATCACGAGCGAATACCCAACTCTGCAGCTTGACATGATCTGCGTGTTGGGAAACAACATACAAGCCGGGACGCCAAATCGAATCGCGAGCCGGCTCCCCGGAACCCCTCCAATGGCGTGAAGCATTCGTATTATGCCAAGGAATGGCGGGATTCTTCTCGAGCCCAAGGAGACGGGTAAAGCCGGGTCTAGGTTTTGGTGCAGACACCCATCCCAGGTGACGTTGGAGTATTGGGTCCTCTTTCAAGATTCTGACGACTTCCTTCCCAGGCTGGGTCCATCCCGAATGAGATGACCGCCAGAAACCACCACATAACAGGTGCTTGACAGTGTTCATTGATGCAAACTTGGCGCTAATATCACGACTTGGGGCCTGGTTATTACTGTTGATAGAACACATGCGAAAAACAGCGTTATATCCTTCCTGTGTCTCGGTTGAGAATAAAATTGGTGGCCCAAATCGACTCATGTGGCGTCTTGCATTCATCGTGAGTAGCCTATTGGCCATGACGGCGCTTGGGAAAACAGGTGCTGACATACACAATCAGCGTACGCAACTCGATGTCGATGATGTCAAGCCCCGCGACTTTTGGGATCTTGTCGACAAGAAACTGCACGAACTCCGGAGGGAAAACCCTGGAGTATTGGTTTTGTAAGTTTGTTCTGTGCTTGAGAATGGCCAAGACTGACTTGCCCTTAGCGGATTGCAGCTGAATTTCGAAGAGGATGTGAAAAAGTTTGGAAAGCTGTCCGCAGAGGTGAAGATTGAGCCGGAAATCGGTGTTCATAGCCCATCGTGGCTACAACGAGTTCACAAGGTGGCACCAAGGGTTGAGCATCCAAAGGTGACCAACCCGACTGGCTCCCGCCGGGCCCACAAGCGGAAACATGCAGTGATTGATGATGAAGACGTCGCTGGAGAAGGTGCAGCACCGAGGGCCTTGTCAGATGCAGAGGATTAGTATTACAATATTATATTTTATCACTGGAATTGCATTGGCTTTGTTCATGTTCATCTGTTGATGTTTACAGCTAATACCTGTAAGTATGCTAAATCCAAATGAGCCGAAAAGTATTATCAATTGTTGTTGAATATATCTGCTGGGTATTCAGCATGAAGCATCTGCGAACATTACTGAGAGATGACTAGGGATCTCATATATATATTCTGCGTTGAGGTAACTTTGATGTCAAAGTGGGTTGTCAAATGATCATCAATTGACAAATGAATGAATTGCACTGGTATATCCTGAAATGCTCATCTTGATCTCAACCACAAATATCCTATATATTTCCTGGTGATATCCTCTAGACATTGCTGGAGGT